TCGCCCTCTAATTAGTTTTTAATTAGCCTATGGGAGGTACCGCTACGTGGGCAGGGATATCCCAGACCAGCCCAAATATCCAGAGAAAGGAACAGGGCTCCAGCGCCGCATTTGGGCCCTCCTTAGGAAACTCGACGGGCCCTGCTGGCGCCGCGGGCCAGAGCCCCAGGCCCCCGCGGACCGACCCCAGCCACCAGCGGGTGGGCGGCGGCATCGCGCGGAGCGCTTTCGAGCGAGATCATCGAAAACGATATGGTATTGTCAACCCTTCGGGGGCGCTCCAGCGCCTCGTCGCAACGGCGGGGGAGGGGCGGGAGTGCCCTTGCCACTTGGTCTTGGCCCCCTTCAGCTCGATCACACCCTTGGCGCGGGACTTCAGGTTCGGGCACGTGTTCAGCAAGGCGCCCCCCTGGCTCTCGTTCAGCCAGTTAACGCAGGCGGGCCACGAAAGCAGGGCGATCCTCGAAGTCCTCGGGCTCCGTGTCCTCCAAGCGCTGGCGAATCATGTTCCATGCCTCCTCGATCGCGTTGAGGTCTGCGGACGACTTGGGGTCGTCGTCGATAGCCGCGCAGCCTGCCTGCCGAAGCGCTTGCAAGTTATGGTCTTGCCACAAGCACTTCTCGTGGTCCTGGACCAGGCGGCAGGGCTTGTCGTCGCCGAAACAGAGCCGCTGCCACCCAGAGAACTTACTGGTTACCAGGCGGTGGTACGTCTCCCCGTTCATGTGCGTGGTCTTATTCTTGGGCTTCTCTGGGTCTGCTGGCAACGCCCAGTAATCCAGGTGGCCATTCGGGAGAAAGCCCGAGATCTCCACATATCTTCATGGGCCGCCCCTGCGCCTTGGCGTACAGTGAAGGCCCGACGTTATCGTCGCACAAGCCACCCGAGCCCGTGGACTGCCGCCAGACGTACGACCCCAGGGCCGCGCGTCGCTTCTGGCCGGCTTCAGAAGGGCCGCGGGCGAAGAAGAACGTCGCCCCGTCCGTGTAAGCCCACTTGGCCAGCAAAGAAGCGTGCATCCGCAGCACCTTTTCTTCGAACGAGATCCTCTGTATCTTGTGCTCAGGAGGGGCCCGCGACTTCGATCGCCGAGTCAACCGCTGCAGTTCAGCCGCGTGTAGATAGCGCTCCACGGCGGAGTTGCTGACCTTCCGAAGGGCTGGCAACTTCTTTTTGCAGAAGCTCACGGTCGCCTTGCAGCCCCCGCGCTCCTGGAACGCCAGCGCGAGGCGGGCGGCTTGCGTCGCCGCAGACGCCGCCCTGTGTCGCCCGGCGCCAGCGCGGGCGCCTGGAGATTCCTCGCCGCGCCACTCGGGCGAAGCCTTCGTCTTCGCGATGACGCGGTCGACCGCTTTCACTGGCGCGGCGCCACCGTCCGGCTTCTCGACGCGCATGACAATGTCTGCGCGGGGCATCCCTGCCATGTGCATGCCCCAGATGACCCCCCGCGCGAACGCGTCCAGGTGGCCCTGGGGCGGCGGCGCCCTCTTGGCCTTCATGGCCAGCTTCTGAACGCGCTTCGGGTTGAGCTTCGGGGCCATGTCCAGCGGGCGGGCCCGCGGGTGAGCGCGATGCGCATGGGAGCCGCGCGTCCGCGGATCTGCGGGCCAGAGTGAACGACTACGGTAGGGCAGGCAATCTCTGGGTGGATCGGCAGCGCGGGTCACGCCGCCAAGCGAGCCCCCCCCCCAACCCACCAGCCCAACCCCGCACCCCACCCACCCCACCCACCCCACCCACCCACCACACACAGACACACACACAGACACACACAGACACACACAAACACACACACACACACACGCAGACACACACACAGACACACACGCACGCACACGCGCGCGCACACACACACACACGTACGTCGCAAGAAAAATGTGATCATCCCTCGCCGACATCGAACGCAAGTTTTAGCCGTGACATGGTGGCTCCCCCCGACCCCCAATGTCAATGTTCACGCCAGCGCCGGCGACTTCGAGATTTTCTTCGGACACCGCCGGCCGCGATGCACCTGCGCCTGCACCTGCACCTGCACCTGCACCTGCACCTGCACCTGCGCCTGCACCTGCGCCTACACCTGCACCTACACCTACACCTACACCTACACCTACACCTACATATACACATACATATACACAAACATATACATATACATATACATATACAGTTGCAGTTATAGTTGCAGTTACGGTTGCAGTTGCAGTTGCACGTGCAGTTGCAGTTGTAGTTGCAGTTGCAGTTGCAGTTTCAGTTGCAACTACTGTTACAGCTGCAGTTACGGCTACATTTACATTAACATGTACGTTTACATGTACAGTTCCATTTGCATTTGCACTTGTATTTACGTACGCATGTATACACATATTTGTATGTATGTATATATACACATATCTATATAGAAATATGTATGTACACATATGTTTATGTATTTGCATAGGCGTATATATATACACATATATCGTATACATATTCATGTACATTTCCATTTGCATCCACATCCACATTCACAGAGACACATACATACACATACACACATACATACACACATGTCAATGTACATGCACATATAGTCGTACATTACATAACCATTTACATACATACACGTACACATACACATACGCACACACATATACGTACACATACACATACATACTCATATACATGTACATATACACATACATACACATGCATATACACACGTATGCATATACTTACATGTATAAACATATGTATATATACATACATGTACATCTACTTACACATACACATCTACATGTGCATGTGCATATACACATACAAATACACATGCGTATACACATCGACGTACACATGCACATACACATACATGTACCCATACTTTCGTACACGTATGCGTACACACATACATATACACATAACCATACACATACGTATGCAAACACACATACATATACATATACATATACACAACCAATTCATATAAATTCACATATACGTTTACACATGCATATACACGTGGCACGTGTGTGCCCAGGCTCATACAAAAAACTGAAGGGACGTTTGAAGCAGGAGTGACATGCAACATCGAAGTCGCACTCGAGCGCAAGTGGGGTTGCCACACCTTGCGATGCGTGTACCAGGACCCCCCAGGAAGCCTCAGGAGGCCCGACTTGGATACCAGAAGAGGCTCCAGGGGGCCCCAGGATTGTGAGTGTTGTGCGCGCGCGCGCGCGCGTGTGTGTGTGTGTGTGTGTGTGTGTGTGTGTGTGTGTGTGCGTGGTTGTGTGTGGTGTGTGTGTGTGTGTGTGCGTGCGTGGTGCGTGCGTGCGTGCGTGTGTGTGTGTGTGTGTGTGTGTGTGTGTGTGTGTGTGTGTGTGTGTGTGTGTGTGCGTGCGTGTGTGTGATGTATGATTTGTGTGGTGCGTGCTTTTTGTGTGTTGTAGGTGGTGTGTGTGTGTGTGTGTGTGTGTGTGTGTGTGTTATGTTTGTCTAGCGTGTGATGTGTTGGGCGTGATTTGTGTCTCTGTGTGCATGTAGTTCTGAAGCCCCAGGGGGCCCCAGGAAGCCCCAGGCGGCCTCAGGAGGCCCCAGGAGACCCCAGGAGGCTTCAGGAGGCCCCAAGAGGCTCCAGGAGGCCGCAGGAGGCCCCAGGAGGCCCCAGGAGGTTTCAGGAGACCCCCAGGAGGCTCCGAGGCGGGGTCTGGGGTGCCAGAAGGTCCAGAAAGCACCAGGAGGCCCCAGGAGGTTCCAGGAGGCCCCCAGGAGGCTCCGAGGTGGGGTCTGGGGCTCGATTTTGGACGGATTTTTCAAGCGAAACCGCCATTCCCTGAGAATCGGGGTGAGAATTATTGAAATTACCATGTGTTTTTGAAGGTTTTATGTTAAACTGTTGAAATTCCCATGTGTTTTTGGACCCTGACGTCACGATCTGCGTGAGGAGTGCCCCCGATTTTCAGAATTTCGAGGATGCCCCGAGCGAAACGCCCAGAAACATCGCGGACGCGTGCGCATTAATCGCATCTGAGCTCTACTCCCTCGGAGAGGTGCGTATGAGAATATACATGTATATATATACATATACACATATACGTTTTGCATAAACATATACACATATACGTATACACATACATATACATATACATACATACACCTACACACACTCACGCACATATGTACGTATGTATACATATACGCATCGGTATATATATATATATATATATATATATATATATATGTCTGTATGTGCTCAAGCTGCTTCTGCTCTTCTACCGACCCCCAAAGGACACACGAAGTCCGCGGGTGGGGCATTTTGCCCCTTGGGAACCTTTCGAATGGCTTATTGGGGCATTTTTGGGGACCTATTGGACACTGTTGAGGGGTCTGTTGGGCGACTGCTGGGCAGTCTCGGGGGTCGTCTTGGGGCGGAGGGCTCGACAAGTCAGTTCGAGTAGGCTCGTTCGGGGCCCTCTTGGGTTGTTTTGGGCACCTCTTGGGCCGCCTTAGGACTCTCTTGGGCCGTCTTGGGGCCCTTTTCGTGTCCTCTTTGGACGCTGTTGAAACCAAAAGTATGAATACATGCAGGTTTTCCTACGGAATTGGAGCGATTTTGGCTTCGTGGGGCCCTGTAGGGGGTTCTCTCGGAGCTCTCTGGGGGCGTCTTGGAAACTTGTTGGGCCGTCCTGAGGCTACCTTCGTTGTTTTTGAGACCCTTGGCGAGTTGGAGCCCATCTTGAGCAAACTTGGACGGAATATTGGGCATCTTGGAGCCCACGGAGTGCAGAGGGGTGTTTAAAAACCCGTTCCCCCCCCGCCCCCGCCACCCTCTCCTCTAACTGGATGTCAGACCCCAGGAGAGGGGGAAAAGGGGAGGGGGACATCCAATCATCCGACGCGGGGGTCGACGGATGTACAGCTCTTTTGTTATTGTTCTCTCTCTCTCTCTCTCTCTTTCTCTGTCGTTCTCTTTCTCTCTCTCTCTCTGTATTGTATCCTCCCCACTCCTGTACTCAAACCGCTGCAGCGTGGCATCCGAACGTGTACCACCACTGCTGGGTCGCCTCACGGTGGTGCGCTCGTGGACTTGATGGTGAAGGATGCGGCCAAGGCCAAGCAGCTGGTGGCGGCCTGCGTTAAGGAGAGCGGCGGAGGGGCGGAGGGATGAATGGAAGGGGGGGGGCAAGGAAGAGGGGTAGAAAGAGGAGGGAGGGACGCGACGCACAGACATGCGAACAGCTCATCACCGCCCGCCCACCCGCCTTACAATATCAGGATGCCTTCATGATGCTGTGTATGATATCCGAAGCAGAAGCAAGCCCCCGTCTACTGGAGACACGGCTTCTTGCATGTCACAGCAGGCGGAAAAAGGGTGTCTCTCCTCTTCACTCGTACTCCCTCCTCATATCTCGTCAGACCTCCTCTTCCCTCGTTCTCCTTCCTCTTTCACCATCACTCCTTCATTTACCTCCTCGTCGCTAATATTCCCTCATATTTCTGCTCGTCCCTCTTCTTGAGTCGTCAAGCTTTATTTTTTCATACATGTCCTCCGTCCTTATATGTGGTCGTTTGTGCCACGTAGAAGCCCTGTGTCAGTCGAAATTGGCACAGAAACGCAGAGGTTGTATCATGATGTCTTCCCAGCACATGTGATGATACGACTCCATAAGCTTCGTATCATGGAGCCTGTCTGAGTGAGCAATGCGTAGGTAGCAGCAACGCTGCACTACTGAGCGACCGCCCGTCAGCCCTCGGGTGTCATTGGGTGGTTGCGCAACGTCCTTTCGCCCATGGGTGTCATGGGAGGAGTGCTCAAGAGCCAAAGCCGGCTATAACATCTAGTCGATGCGATCTCGGAGAACATCTACCTGCGCATTCTGCTTCAGCTCTCGTCTGGCCTGCACGGCCGACTAGCAGCTATAGCTGGGGGCGACCGTTCTCGTGGTGGAGATCGCGTTTCTGCTTCAACCATACTCAATACAAGATAGACATCAACTTGCTGCATCGTGCTCAAATTCGTCAATCAAGCAACCACCTCTGAACTGCAGTGCGAGATATTTCTGACTTCGAGGGGTCGACCAAAAGCCGCCATCCCCCTCCCATTTCCCATCTTCCCCCCCTGTTTTCAACTCCCTGTCTTCCTTTCTCCTTTTCTTTCCCCCCCTCCCCTTTAACATCATTTCCTTTCTTCCCCTCACATTTCCCATACTCCTCCCTATCCTCCCCTTCGTCCCCAGGATATCGAGCTCAACGAGAGGCAGGCCTGCGATGTGTTCTGCCTGCTCAATGGCGCCTTCAGCCCGCTCAAGGGTTTCATGGACGAGACGACCTACACTTCCGTGGTGAAGGAACCTGGGAGCGATGCCCACGAAGAGGAGGTTGAGGAGAAGCTAGATCACAGCTGGGGGCGCGAAGACAGTCGCGCTTCGCACGTCGCGACCTGGGCCAGAGCGGCTGTCCTTCTCCATTCCAGCCTCGCGGGGGCGCGGAGATAACCGCGTTTCACGCATCGCGGGGCGCGATGCGCGACGTTAGGTGGCCTAGGAAGGGGAAATAGGACGAGTTCAAGGTAACTGGACAAGGTGTGTTCGGCTAACGCGTCAGGACTAAACATCTCGCAAATAACATCTGACAGCTTCGTGTGAACGCCTCGCGCTCATGTTCCCACAGCAGCAGCAGCATCAACTGACATGTATCGGTTATGCTGAGCATGTGGAGCGCATTGCCCAGGAGCTTCTGACACATCACCTCTGGTGTATATAATGACACCGAGATGGAACACACCATACTGATGTACTCGTGACTGCGTGCGTTCTTGGAGGAGCACGGTAACGGACGGCAGGCGGCTTGCGCAGCCTCTGATGAGGGCGGGTCTCCCGCCTTTTGATGAATTTCAGACTGTTCTAGCTAGCAGCGCCAGCAGGGCAGGTGTTAAGCCAGATACATTTGTGGGAGCGGGAGTCGCACGCGGAACTCATGTATGCCCGAGCTATGCTGTGTGTATATATGTCGGCGGTGCCCCGTGGCACGAACCCCCCCCCAGTACTGCCGGGGGGTTTCGTGTAGGTCGCATTGGGTGCCGCCGACGGCTCAGAACCCCCCCTCCCCCTGTCCTTTTACCAGGAGGTTTCGTGCAGGCCGCACTGAGGGGGCGCTTCGACCTGGACCCCCCTCCCCCCCGTGGGAGTGGGGGGGTGGGAGTCGGGGGTGAGATGGGCGGGGGTGCGGGTGGGGTCAAGTTAGCCAGCTCGAACGAGCCAGAGGGCTCCGTCCACTCCCACCCGCCCTCCCACAACATAAGAAGCAAGTGCGTCGCGTCCGACGCCTGTCGCTCATTTTATATCGTGGGCGGCTAGACGTTCAGCGCGCGACATGCACTGCGTCCTATTCCTGCCGCGCGTTGAGCAACGTCGACGAGAAACAAAACCGCGCGCGATGTACGCCGCGCCCCGCTCCGGCCTCTCATGTTGCATCGTCGGCGACAACATGTCCAGCGCGCGAAGTGCGCCGCGTCTCATTCCAGCAACGCGTCTTGTACCGCCAATCGTTTCGCTCCTGCCGCGCATGGGGGAGGGGGAGGAGAAGGCGGAGGAGGAGGAGGAGGAGGAGGAGGAGGAGGAGGAGGAGGAGGGGAGGGAAAGAGGGAGGGAAGGAAAAACTGACGAGGAAGAGGAGAGTGCCTCTTGGGAATTCGCGGGGCGTCCTGGGAGCTTTCTGGTATACGCCTGAGGGCCTCTTGGATTTATCTTCTGGGTTGGAACACTGTCAACACAAGTAGGTGTTAACCTCACAATCCTTAAACACCAAATGGAAGTCAATATTTGTGTTGCCACCCCAGGACCTCCTGGACGCCTTTTTTCGACCTCTTGGGGGTCTCCTGAGGCATTTGCTTGAACCACACTTGCCTGAGGCATTATGACTTGCCGCCCGCCCGCCTCTTCAATCCGACAGGCCGCAGCGTCGACGACAAGAAAGTCCATGTTGACGAGCAGGCGTCCCCGCGCGATGTGCGCCGCGTCCCATTCCAGCTACGCGATCGCAGGTCCGACGAGGAGAAAGTACATGTTGGCATAAAACAAATCGAATTTGCTGTGTTTTTTTGACAGACAGGACGGGGGGTCCCACGTAGGGTTGGCCAGGCATCCGCGCGCGACGTGCGCCGCGTCCCGTTCCTGTTACAATTTTCGCAGCTTCGGCGACAAGAAAGTCCGTCCATGTTGACGAGAAAAACGTTGACTTTGTTACCTAACAGCGAAGATTGGTAGGTTTCTAGTGGTCTAAAAAGAGAGCAGCAGATGACTCCACAGGGGGGTTTGGGCAGCCGTTGGGGAGGTGTTGGGGGGCCGTTGGGGGGCCGTTGGGGGGCCGTTGGGGTTTGCCGGGGGGGATCGTTTTTCGCATACAGTCATACACTTTGTGCTCTTCGACCTCCCAGAACTCCATTCTTCGACCTCCCAGAACTCCGTTCCCGGGCCACATTCTGAATGCCCGGAGCCAACTGTAGGCCACTTCGTGGTCTTCGAGTTCCCAGAACTCCATTCCCGGCGTACATTTTGGATGCCCGGAGCCAACTGTAGGCCACTTCGTGGTCTTCGAGTTCCCAGAACTCCATTCCCGGGCCACATTTTGGATGCCCGGAGCCAACTGTAGGCCACTTCGTGGTCTTCGAGTTCCCAGAACTCCATTCCCGGGCCACATTTTGGATGCCCGGAGCCAACTGTAGGCCACTTCGTGCTCTTCGACTTCCCAGAACTCCATTCCTGGGTATGATTTTGAATGCCCGGAGCAAACTGTAGGCCACTTCGTGTTCTTCGAGTTCCCAGAATTCCATTCCCTGGCCACATTTTGAGCAGGCTGCTGAGGCAGCAGGCTGAGGCAGGATGAGGCTGAGGCCGAGCTGAGCAACTCAGGCTGAGGCTGATGGCAGGCTGAGGCTGAGGCTGAAGCAGGCTGAGGAGGCAGCTGACTGCAGGCTGAGGCTGATGCAGGCAGGCTGAGGCTGAGGCTGAGGCTGAGCTGAGGCAGGCTGAGGCTGAGGCTGCAGGCTGAGGCTGAGGCAGGCTGAGCTGAGGCTGAGGCTGAGGCTGAGGCAGGCTGAGGCTGAGGCAGGCTGAGGCTGAGGCCGAGGCTGAAGGCAGATGAGGCTGAGGCTGAAGCAGGCTGAGGCTGAGGCTGAGGCAGGCTGAGGCTGAGGCTGAGGCAGGCTGAGGCAGGCTGAGGCTGAGGCTGAGGCTGAGGCTGAGGCAGAGGCAGGCTGAGGCTGAGGCTGATGCAGGCTGAGGCAGAGGCAGGCTGAGACTGAAGCCGAGGCTGAAGGCAGATTGAGGCTGAGGCAGAGGCAGGCTGAGGCTGAGGCTGAGGCAGGCTGATGCTGAGGCAGGCTGAGGCTGAGGCCGAGGCTGATGCAGGCCGAGGCTGAGGCAGCCTGAGGCTGAGGCCGAGGCTGAAGGCAGACTGAGGCTGAGGCTGAAGCAGGCTGAGGCTGAGGCTGAGGCAGGCTGAGGCTGAGGCTGAGGCAGCTGATGCTGAGCCAGGCTGAGGCTGAGGCTGAGGCTCATGCAGGCTGAGGCCGAGGCCGAGGCCGAGGCCGAGGCTGAAGGCAGACTGATGTCTTGCCTGAGGCGGAAGCAGGCTGAGGCTGAGGCTGAGGCAGGCTAGGCTGAGGCTAGGCAGCTGAGGCTGATGCTGAGGCTGAGGCAGGCTGAGGATGAGGCAGGCTGAGGCTGAGGCCGAGGCTGAAGGCAGACTGAGGCTGAGGCGGAAGCAGGCTGAGGCTGAGGCTGAGGCAGGCTGAGGCTGAGGCTGAGGCAGGCTGATGCTGAGGCAGGCTGAGGCTGAGGCTGAGGCTGATGCAGGCTGAGGCTGAGGCAGGCTGAGGCTGAGGCCGAGGCTGAAGGCAGACTCAGGCTGAGGCTGAAGCAGGCTGAGGCTGAGGCTGAGGCAGGCTGAGGCTGAGGCTGAGGCAGGCTGATGCTGAGGCAGGCTGAGGCTGAGGCTGAGGCTGATGCAGGCTGAGGCTGAGGCAGCCTGAGGCTGACGCCGAGGCTGAAGGCAGACTGAGGCTGAGGCAGGAGAGCTGAGGAGCAGGCTGAGGCTGAGGCTGAGGCTGAGCTGAGGCAGGGCTGAGGCTGGAGCCGAGCTGAAGGCAAACTGAGCGGAGGCTGAAGCAGGCTGGCGAGGCTAAGGCGGAGGCTGAGGCTGAGGCTGAGGCTGAGGCTGAGGCTGAGTGAGGCTGAGGCTGGCTGATGCTAGGCAGGCAGGCTGAGGAGGCTGAGGCAGCTCAGGCTGAGGCAGGCTGAGGCTGAGGCCGAGGCTGCAAGCAGACTGAGGCTGAGGCAGGACAGGCTGAGGCTGAGGCTGAGGCAAGGCTGAAGCTGAGGCTGAGGCTGATGCTGAGGCAGGCTGAGGCTGAGGCTGAGGCTAATGCAGGCCACTGCGACTGTCATCGCGAATGCGACTACGACTGCGAGAACAGCAGAACTCTACAACTGGATTCTCATCTGAATCTTAAGGGGGATGCTTCCAGATATGCTCCTACACATCGCTGTTCGGTTGTTTTGCCGGGATAATAGTGTTTTTGATGGGTAGGACGCGACCGCCCGCTTAGGGTTACCCACGCGACGTTCATTTCGTCCCATTCCTGCTACATGTTTCGCAACTCGACGACATGTTGGCAAGAAACAAATTGAGTTTGTTTTGTTTTTGACAGTTCGGACGGCGGGGTTGTTATCGGCCGGCCTTGGTGGGGATGTGGGGGTGTTTAATCATAGGAAGCAAGGATGGGGGGGTTTGTGTGTGGAGGTGAGGCGTCTTGTGACACCCTTGGGGTCCAGTCCAGCCAGTTGTGCATACTGGGGGGGTTCGTGCATACCGGAGGGGCTTCGTGCTTACCGGGGGGTCTTTCGTGCCGGCTATTGAGGGGTTTCGTGCTTACCGGGGGGGGTCCGTGCCAGCTCGCACCGGCGGTGCCGCCAGCTCGAACCCCCCCAGGATGGAGTTTACCAGGGGGGGTTCGGTCCGCACCGGGCAGTGCCGATTGGCGTCTTGGATTGTGTGTGTCTTTGGCTTCTTGGATGGTCGTTGGGATCTCGTCGAGGCCTTTCGGTGGCCTTCGGGGGCTTCTTGTGGCCTTTTGGGGCCTCTTGGGGCCTCTTGGGGCCTCTTGGGGGCCTCTTGGGGGCCTGTTGGGGGCCTGTTGGGGGCCTCTTGGGGCCTCTTGGGCGCCTGTTGGAGCCTCCTGGGGGCCTCGGGGCGGAAGGCTCGGATTTTCGGTTCGTGCTCCTTCTCTTGGGCCCTTTTTGATAATCCTTAAATCTCTGGTTTCTGGGGCAGGAAAATCGCGAGGAGCGGGCTCCTGGACCGTAGCCTGTTCTGTTTATTCGCCTTCTGCCTACAATTGTGGGCATGCGGCCTCTCCGCCTTCCTCCGCTGTGCCGCTGCCGCTTTGCTGCCGCGGCTTTACCGCTGGCGCCGCTTTGCTGCCGCCACCCAGGAGAGCCAAGGGAAAACCGTGCCGAGGGCAAAAGGTCCTTGTGTACTAGGCGCCCGCGCCTACGCTGGGTTCCCCGCTGGGGAGCGGGTCCCTGCCTGGACAAGGCAAACCAACGAGGCAAAGCTCGGCTCCCCGAAAGGGAGCGGGTCCCTGCCTGGACAAGGCACACCCACAAATGCGGCCGCAGTTCCTGGATAAGGAAAGGGCCCCTTGCCTGGACCAGGCAAGCCCGCGCGGCAAACGCTCGGCTCCCCGATAGGGAGCGGGTCCCTGCCTGGCAAACCCAAGTCAGCCGAAATTCCTGGATAAGGAATGGGTCCTTGCCTGGATACGGCAAACCCATGCGGCAGCCGCAGTCCCTAGACAAGGGACGGGGCCCTGCCTGGACAGGGCAGACCCACGGTAGTCGCTCGTCGTTGCCCTGTTTTCGATCGTCCTCGTTGTTTCCAGCCCTCTCTTTGTTGTGTACGTCACTCACTCACTCGCTTCTCTCCTCTCCTTTCCTCTCCGCTCCCCTGGGTTGGGCGCTCATCCTGCGTAGAGCCAAGACCTCGCGTCACCGTGGGGGGCTGCGAACTGCGCAACTGTCCCCTGTTTCGTGGGCTCCTGGGAGGTCCAGCGGAGTTGGAGGTCCACGCGCACCCAGCTGAGACCTCTCGGGCCTTTCGTGGGGCTGCGAACTGTCATTTGTCGCCACTTTCGTGGGCTACTGGGAGGTTCAGCGGCGTGGAGGTCCACGCAGGCCCAGCCGGGATCAGCCGGGGCCTCGCGGGCCCTGGGGGGCTGCGAACCGCGCATTTATGGTCATTTCGTTGGCTCCTGGGAGGTCCAGCGGACCGTAGGTTTACGCGGACCCAGTCTAGACTTTGCGGCTCCCTGGTGGGCTGCGAAGTGCGCGTGTTTCATCATGTTCTTTTTTATTGAGTGGTCCTTATATCGCTGCCCCGTGTTAGAAAAGGGCAGGGTACGTCACCCGGTAATGTTTGCCTCTAGGGGCCTTCTTGGGAGGCCTCTTGGAGGCCTCTTGGGGCGTGTTAGGGGCACTTCGGTCCCATTTGAGTCCATGGTGGGCGTCTTGGAGCGATTGTTCGGCCCCTTGGAGCGTCATGGGGGCCTCTTGGAGCCCTCTTGACCCATCTTGGAGCTTTTTCGGCCCCAGACAAGTAATACGGGAAGATGCGACGCGCCCCAGGGGACACGTGACAATCTCCGGAAGGTTTGGTAATCTTGGGTCCAGGCCCCTTCGAGAATTGTAAGGATTGAGGACTCAGGCTTCAGGGGATCTAATAAGGGGCCTGAGGACACTCCAACTCGTGCCTCAAGGGTTCGGTGGCGGATGTCTGTCTGTCTGTCTGTCGGTCTGATTGTCTATCTGTCTACATGCATGCATGCACGCATGCATGCTTGCATGCATGGGTGATGATGATGATGATGATGATGATGATGATGATGATGATGATGATGATGATGATGATGATGATGATGATGATGATGATGATGATGATGATGATGATGATGATGATGATGATGATGATGTGTGTGTGTCTGTATGTTTGTATGTCTGTATGTCTGTATGTCTGCATGTCCGTATGTCTGTATGCCTGTATGTCTGTATGTCTGTATGTCTGTATGGCTGTATGCCTGTATGCGTTTCTGTCTGTCTGTCTGTATGCATGTATGTGTGTATCGATGCATGCGTGAATTTATGTAGATTTAGATGTAGATGTATAGGTGTGTATATATACATATACATATGTATACGGACAGGTTCTCTTATAAGTACATGCACATGTTTATGTATATGTCTATGTGGTCATACATGTATATCTGTATACGTGTATGTATGTATGCATGTCTGCATGTCTGTCTGTATGTATGTATGGGTGTGTATGTATGTGTATATGCACATGTAGGTGTGTGTGCATCTAATTTTGTATTTATGTATATTTATGTATGTGTACGCATGTGTGTATGTATCTGTATGTGTATAGGTGTACGCATTTGTATATGCATATGCATATGTACATGAATGTGAATGCGTAGGTGTATGTGTGTATGTATATGTAGACGTAGATGTATATGTATATGTAAATGTCGATGCACATATGTATATATGTAGATGTATGTATGAACGTGCGTATGCATGCATGTATGTATGTAGGTATGTATATATGCTTGTACGTCTACATGTATGTATGCATGCATGTATGTATGTATGGATGTCTGTATGCATGTATGCACATATGTAGGTGTATAACTGCATGTGCTTCTGCATGTATGTAAGTATATATGCATGTAGGTCTGTATGTATGAACGTATCGATGAATACATGGATGGATCGATGTATGTGTGGCTGGATGGACGGATGGATGTACGTTTGTCATTCTGTCTGTCTGCCCTTATGTACGTATGTATGCCTGTATGCCTGTATGCCTGTATGTCTATATGTACGTCTGTGTGTGTGGGTCTGTCTGTCTGTCTGCCTGCCTGTCTGTGTCTGTATGTATGTGTGTGTATGTATGCATGTATGTATGTGTATATATATATATATATTTATATATATATCTAGGTATGCATACATGCATGCATGCATGCATGCATGCATGCATATATGTATGTATGTATGCATGTATGTATGTATGTATGTATGTATGTACGTATGTATGTATGTATGTATGTATGTATGTATGTATGTATGTACGTATAGACGTGACTTTAGATTCATTTATTTATTATTCTATATTTGATTACGCGTATGTTTATATACATGATTAAAGGTGTGCATATACCTACAATTGTCTCCATGCCTGGGTTGTGGTTGTACAGCCTATTTGATGTTCGTTGGGTTCTTCTAAGGGGGTCTCTCGGGGGCTTCTCTCGGAGGCAGTTTTTAGTCATGGGGGCCTCTCTGGGGCCTCTTGGTTGTCCCTTGGGGGCCTCTTGGTGCCTCTTGGGGCCTCCTGGGCGCCTCTTGGAGCCTCCTGGAGGCCTTTTGGGTAGGAAGGCTTCATAGAAGGAGATTACTTTTTTAGAAGTCGCAGGCCTCATCTAATCACAGATGTAAGGTCGGCGCTGTTTAAGAAGCAGCCTCCTTCTAAGAAGCCCTCCCCCCTACCCCCTGGTGCGCGCCGCCATTTTATCTTCGCGATCGTCGTCGTCATCGTCGTCGCCGCCGCAGCCGCCGTCGTCGTCTTCCTTGTCCTCATCGTTTCTTACGTCGGCAAGCCCTTCCGTGGTCAAAACTCTGTGCGAGGACATGCGGTTACCCGAGAAGCAGTTGTTCGGGTTGCCCGTCATCCGTGGCGCCTCGCGGCCGTCTTCCGCCCGTCCGTCTCCCCCAGGTCGGGCTTGAGGAGGAAAGTGAGGAGAGCGGAGGCGACGGGGGAATCACCCCACAGGGGCGACAAGACAATCGCGCTTTGCTCATCGCGGCTTGGGTTGGTGAGGCGCTTTTCTCCAGGGCGGCCTCGCGAGGGCGCGAAGATAGCCGCGCGCCGCGCATCGCGGGGCGCGATGCGCCAAGCTAGGTGGCCCAGGGAAGCGGGAAGGCTGATGATGGTGTTGCAACTGCTGCCGACGATGATACTTGTGGTGTGCAGTACGGTGAGAACATGAACATGAAGATGATGACGATGCTCAGACGCGGATTTGGATGTGATGTTCATGCAGTTGGTGCAGGTCGTGGAGTGGGCAGGCGGAATGGGGGGCAGAGGAGGAGGATGCCATAATCGACGTTGAGGAGGGGGAGGAGGAGAAAGAGGTTGTGATGATGGAATATAGTGAGAGAAAGGATTCTGGTTGGGGGAATATTGTGGTTATGATCAGGATGAGGGCGGGACGGGTGAACGTATGAGGATGAGCAGGAATGGGAGATGAGGATAGGGATGATGATGATTGTGATGATGACGATTATTATGATGCTGATGATGATGGTGATGGTGATGGTGATGATGATGAGGATGAGGATGATGATGATGATGATGATGATGGCGATGGCGATTCTGGTGATGATGGTGATGTTGTTGATGATGCTGATGACGTTGGTGCTGATGATGGTGACGATGCTGATGCCGCTGATGAGAATTAATGATGGTGATGAGGATGCTGATGATGATGCTGCTGATGATGATGATGAAGCTGACGATGAAGCTGACGATTATGATGACGACGATTATGCTGATGATGACGATGATGATGCTGATGATGATGCTGATGCTGATTGTGCTTGTGGTGGTGATGATGGTGTTGAGGATAATGATGAGAATGATGATGATGCTGCTACTGCTGCTGCTTCTGCCGACATCTGCTGCTGACGACGACGACGACGATGATGATGATGATGATGGATGATGCTGATGATGATGATGCTGATGGTGCTGATGATGATGACGACGATGATGATGATGATGATGATCATCATGCTGATGCTGCTGTGGTGATGATGCTGATGCTGAAAATGCCGACGACGACGCTACTGATGATAATGAGGATGATGATGATAACGACGACGATGGTGATGATGATGATGATGATGATCCTGAGGATGATGATGATGATGATGATGATGCTGATGATGATGATGATGATTATGATGATGATGATACTGATGACGATGATGATGATGATGATGCTGACGATGATGCTGCTGATGATGCTGATACTGATGATGATGTTGTGTTATTGATGCTGATGATAATGATGGTGATGATACGGATACTGATGATGATGATGATGATGAGGATGATGATGATTATGATGATGATGATGATGATGATGATGATGATGATGATGTCGATGCTGATTCTGCTGCTGACGATGATGCCGCTGCTGCTGCTAATGCCGCTGTCGCTGATGATGATAATGATGATGATGATGATGATGATGATGATGATGATGATGATGATGATGATGATGATGATGATGATGATGATGATGGTGATGGTGATGATGGTGATGATGATGATGATGATGATGATGATGATGATGAGATGATGAGATGATGATGATGATGATGATGATGATGATGATGGATGATGGCGACGATGAGGTTGAGGATGCGGATGAGGACCATGAGGATCAGAAGGAGGAGGGGGGGGGGGGAGGATGAGGAATTCGAGAGGAGGAGGCGGAGGAGGAGGCGGAGGAGGAGGAACAGGAGGTCGAGGAGGATGAAGAGGAGGAGGAGGAGGAGGTGGAGACGGATGCGGAGGCTGGGTAGCATAAGAAAGAGGGTTCCGCGGAATAGGATTTTGATGTTGGTGAGGACGAGGAGGAGCAGGAGGACGAGGAGGAGGAGGTGGTGGAGGAGGAGGAGGAACAGCAGCATCAACATACCGAAGATGAGGACGGGGGAGTAGGAGGAACTGCAGGGAAGACGTGTGAGGACAAGTTGCATGGTAACAAGGATGGGGAGGTGATGGAGAAGAAGCCGGAGGAGAAGGGTGTGGAGGAGAAGCCTGGACGAGGGGGGTGGAGGAGGATTGCCATAGCAGATGCATCTCTGATGCTGCAACAAACGTATGCCCCTCAGTGTCATACTTCCAATTCGTAGGTACATTCATATTGCGTCGGACACGTCCAGCAGGATTGGGCATCTAGCTTCATGTCCTTACGCTTACTGAGCAGCCCCTTGATTGTCGCACGGGCCGCCTTGGTATTTTCGTAACTGCTGTGCGATCATTGTCGGCGCCCGCTGGCTTTTTGGATGATGTGTGTCGCAGCTGCTTACCACTTATGATTCTACACTGTGGTGTTTCGTTGTTGGCCCCCCTGGCTCCCTGCAGGCTTTGTCGTGTGTTTTCGTGCTGCTGATAAGAGTGCCCCCTGCGGGGCACCTGCCCCCCACTCCTGTGCGAGTTGCTGGCCAAGTTTATCTGCCCAGGAGCGGTGGAGAGAGTGGGAGCTAGCCCGTCCAGAGCGCGAGGTACTGCCGTGATCTTAAGGATCCCGCGATTTGAGCGGCAGTTCGAGGCGCTGGGGAGGTGGAGCCTCGCACAGCAGCGGAGAAAGAGATCGCCATGGCCGTGGCTGGGCGTGTGGAGGTGAGCTCTGCGCGCTGCACGCGCTGCGCGCGCTGCCGCGAGCCACAGCCGGTTGCGATCGAGCCCTGAGCATGTCGTGGATCAGATACGCCTCGGATGTCCATGACGCTTGAAGCAGGAGCCCAGAACCCAGGAGGAGGAGGAGGAGGAGGAGGAGGAGGAGGAGAAGGAGGACCAGTGTAAACCCAAGGCCCATCAATGATATTGCAATAAGCCCTCCCTCCAAGCTCCCTCTTCATAGGCTCCTCCACGGATTCATTTTCACTGAAGGAAATGCTTTATTGGAAGACAACCGTCTGAAAATCTGGAATTGCCCCAGGCGCCATTTCTGGGACTTCAACGCCGCGAATCACCGATACTGTTGCATCTTGACGCTCCTGAATCGTGCCAGAGCGCCTTTCTTCGGACTTCAATACCGCGAATCAATTTGGCTGTTGCGCCCTGGCATCCCGACATCGTGCCAAAACACCATGAGAATCCGTGAAACTGCTGCAATCTCGTAAGACGAATGTGCGCGGCGCTAAGGCGAGAGCCGCATTTTGAAAAGGAACCGCCTTCCATCCGTGACGCTTTTGCAATTTGTTAAAACGAATGTGCACGGCGCTGAGGCGAGAGCCACATTTTGAAAACGGGCCGCCCTCCATCCGTGAAATTCTTGCAAGTTTTCAAGACGAGTGTTCGCGGCGCGCAGGCGAGAGCCGCACTTTGAAAGCGGACCGCCCTCCATCCGTGAAGTTGTTGCAGATTTCAAGATTCAGGGTCGTTATTGCGAAGGCCTGACGACCGGTGCCGCCGACCCTGTTCGCAATGCGCAGCAAGAGATTACGAGGTTGCTCAAGGTCGGCTTGGCTGGAGCCCAGGGGAAGAGGAGTCCCAGGGGGGGGCGTCGTATCTGACCCGGGGGGGGGGTCGCTACCCCCCCCCCCCTCCCGGCGGGGGAGGGATCAAAGGGAAGGGGCTTCCCTTCGACTCAATTACGAGGTTGCTCAAGGTCGGCTTGGCTGGAGCCCAGGGGAAGAGGAGTCCCAGGGGGGGGCGTCGTATCTGACCCGGGGGGGGGGTCGACACCCCCCCCCCCCTCCCGGCGGGGGAGGGATCAAAGGGAAGGGGCTTCCCTTCGACTCAATTACGAGGTTGCTCAAGGTCGGCTTGGCTGGAGCCCAGGGGAAGAGGAGTCCCAGGGGGGGGGTCGTATCTGACCCGGGGGGGGTCGGGCGGGGGATCAAAGGGAAGGGGCTTCCCTTCGACTCAATTACGAGGTTGCTCAAGGTCGGCTTGGCTGGAGCCCAGGGGAAGAGGAGTCCCAGGGGGGGGCGTCGTATCTGACCCGGGGGGGGGGTCGACACCCCCCCCCCTCCCGGCGGGGGAGGGATCAAAGGGAAGGGGCTTCCCTTCGACTCAATTACGAGGTTGCTCAAGGTCGGCTTGGCTGGAGCCCAGGGGAAGAGGAGTCCCAGGGGGGGGGCGTCGTATCTGACCCGGGGGGGGGTCGACACCCCCCCCCCCTCCCGGCGGGGGAGGGATCAAAGGGAAGGGGCTTCCCTTCGACTCAATTACGAGGTTGCTCAAGGTCGGCTGGCTGGAGCCCAGGGGAAGAGGAGTCCCAGGGGGGGGCGTCGTATCTGACCCGGGGGGGGGGTCGACACCCACCCCCCCCTCCCGGCGGGGAGGGATCAAAGGGAAGGGGACTCAATTACCTCAAGGTCGGCTCGGCTGGAGCCCAGGGGTTGCAAGAGCCCAGGGGAGGAGTTGAAGGTCGGAGGGATGGCTGGAGGTTGCTCAAGGTCGGCTTGGCTGGAGCCCAGGGGAAGAGGAGTCCCAGGGGGGGGCGTCGTATCTGACCCGGGGGGGGGGTCGACACCCCCCCCCCTCCCGGCGGGGGAGGGATCAAAGGGAAGGGGCTTCCCTTCGACTCAATTACGAGGTTGCTCAAGGTCGGCTTGGCTGGAGCCCAGGGGAAGAGGAGTCCCAGGGGGGGCGTCGTATCTGACCCGGGGGGGGGGTCGACACCCCCCCCCCCTCCCGGCGGGGGAGGGATCAAAGGGAAGGGGCTTCCCTTCGACTCAATTACGAGGTTGCTCAAGGTCGGCTTGGCTGGAGCCCAGGGGAAGAGGAGTCCCAGGGGGGGGCGTCGTATCTGACCCGGGGGGGGGGTCGACACCCCCCCCCCCCTCCCGGCGGGGGAGGGATCAAAGGGAAGGGGCTTCCCTTCGACTCAATTACGAGGTTGCTCAAGGTCGGCTTGGCTGGAGCCCAGGGGAAGAGGTCTCCCAGGGAAAGGGAAGGACAGAGACGACGAGTACAAAGAATGACGGAGATGACGGCTCGAACGGAAAAGCCCCTCACACACGCCGACAGGGTCGGCGGATTTGCGAGGAAGTCTCAGGCGAAACGTCCAGCCCGTCTTTCGACTGGCCTCGGGTTGCGACAGGGAGGAGCTATCTATCAGGAAAAGGGATGTCATATACGTGTAACGGGGGGCAGTACACGTAAGGGGAATCGAGGGTTGCAGGGGAAGATGTCTCTGACGGGGCCCTGAAAGGCTCCTGGCGTGCCACCGCGGGCCCAACGCGTACGCGACAGGAGCATGTTTTGTTCATCCCCCCCCCCTGCGACGATCACCCGAAGGGGGGGAAAAGGAGGCACAGACGAGATGCAGGAGGACCAGTCCCTCCCGTCCCAGGTCCAGCCCTTATCAAGTGCGTGCAAGAAGTCCGTGGCACTGCGCGAGGCGCCCCCTTGAAAGACGAGCGCGCCACGGCCCGCCGTCCCTCGAGCTGTAAGGATTGCGGCAAGGCGGGGCCAGGCAGTTCTCCGAGGAGGTGCCCAGCGACAGCTCCGCTTTGAAAACAAGCCGACCTCTATCAGTGCAAGTGCTGTACCAGCTCAGCAATCGGCCGTTGTTGTAGCAATCTCAAGCGCAAGCCCCATTTCGAAAAGGAATCGTCCTACACCCGTGTGATTGTTGCAGAGATTTCTGTTCACGGTTGTAAGCGTTGAAGACGTGTTATGCGAGGCCTTCGTTTCTGAAAGGAATCGTCTTCCATCCGTGTCATTGTTGGTAGCTGTTGAGACGACTGTGCGCGGCGCAAGTGAGGTCCCATTTTAAATCTGTTTCGTTCTCCATCCACTCAGCAGTTTGGAACTTTTGAGGGGAGTGCGCGCGGCACCTAAGCTAGAGCTCCATGTTGGAAACGTTCCGCCATATGCTCGTGTAGCAGTTCTACAGGTTTCAGACGAGTATGCACGGCGCCAAGGCGAGAACCCCATTTTGAAAACCACCCGCCCTCCATCCGTGCAGCTTTTGGAAATTTCAAGACTCAAGATCGTAAGCAGTGGGAAGTATCAGGTGAAGCGCCGGCCTGGCTTAACGAGACGTCTGGTGGTGCGACAAGGGGGCATCTGTTTGCGTGGACAAGGGATGGAGGAGGATCGTGACCACGCCGATCATGAGGGAGGAGTGACATCGGCCAGGGTGGGGTACACCGTTTGTCCCTGGAGGCATGGGGACAGTGGACCCTAGATGTCTCCGATACCGCTGGCTTCAAGGCGGGTGACAAGGTCTTGCTGAAGTGGAAGGGCGAAGGAGTTGCCGTATTAGAGGCCGTCTGCCCGAAGTTTTCTTCCCCGTTCATGTCAGTCGTCGTTCGTTCGCCTTCGGGCGCCTTCGCCGTTGCCGTCGCCTTCGGGCGATGACGGGCGTTCTTTCGTTCGTGTCATGTCGGTTGCCGTCGCCTTGGGCCATAACGGTCGTTCGTTCGTTCGTTTGTTCGTTCGTTCATGTCAGTTGCGGCCGGCTTGTCTCCCGTTGGTGAGCATGCCACTGTGTGTCTACAGCGATGTGTCAGGGGTGTGCGGAGACCCCCTTCGCGTCGTCGACGTCGTTTTCGTCGTCATCATCATCCTCACCTTCATCGGATGAACAGGGTTTGGAGCAGGGCAGGCCTTCGGACCCTCCCTAGCCACCCCTATGGTGAAAGTCATTCCACCTGCCCCCCCTCTCCCCTGCGCCTCATCCTTGCCCCCCGGCCCCCTCCACCTCCCCGTCTTCTCTCAAGGGGCACACCTGGCCACTAGCAGGGTGCGACCTGGCCCAGAGGCCTCCTCCATCTACAAGCCCGACAAGACCGTGGAGGCCATGAACGTCTACGGCACGTCCAGCCTCGAGCATCCAACGGCGCTCCCCGCCCCAGGGGTCACAGGGTTCCGAGACCCAACCTACTCGGGGCAACGAGGGATGGAGGAGCGACAGAGGGAGGGAGGGGTAGGAGGAGGAGGAGGAGGAGGAGGAGGAGGAGGAGGAGGAGGAGGAGGAGGAGGAGGAGGAGGAGGGGCAGAAGGAGGATGAGGAGGCAGAGGACCAGGAGGGGACTGATGGTGAGGAGGAGGAAGAGGAGGAGGAATACAATGAAGATTCCGAGGATGGGGAGGAGGAGGAGAAGGAGGAGGAGGAGGAGGAAAAGGAGGTGGTTGTGGATGAGGAGGACAAGGAGGAACCAGACCTGAGTAAGCCCAAGAAACATCAACGATGCTGCAATACGCCCACCCGTCCCAAGTCGCTTCCCCAGAAGTCCCTACAAGAACTCCTTTTCACTGCGGGAAGTGCCCCTTGAAAAACGAGCGGTGGATGCTCCTGCGATTGAGGCCAGAGATCCGTTTTGAACAGGAGCTGTAATCCATGCTTGTAGCTATAAGGACGCCGACGAGGGATGATCGTAAACTCAAAGGAAGTGTCCAGCGAATACCCCGCTCAAACGAAAGCCGGCCTTACTCCGTGCACTGTTTCTTCAGTTTGAAGCGTCTGGCCATAACGCAGAAAGAAGTCTCAAGTGAGAGCCACGGTTTGGAAAGGCGCCGCCCTCCATCCGTGTAGGTTCTTGGCTACTATTACCATTCTCCAGGAAGTCTCCAAGGGCAACTTCATCTTGGGATCGACCACATCCATCCGCGTAGATAATTGTTACCCTCAGTGGCCCCATCGTTGCCTTGTGTGGCTCCGCATTATCTGCCCTTCGTGGCCCCCGCTCTTTCGCGCTCTTCGTGGCCCCATACGCATTCCCTTCGTGTCCCCGCTGTTGCCCTTCGTGGCCTACTTCGTGTCCTTGTGGCCCTGCTGTCGTTCTCTTTCGCTCTCGCTTTCGCTCGTCGCCGTCGTCGCCGTCGTCGTCGTCGCCGCCGTCGTCGTCGACGTCGTCGTCGACGTCGTCGTCGTCGTGGTCGGTCCCCTGTCCGTCCCTCTTGGGGTCGGGTCGACGGTCCGTGGCGGCCCCGCCGATCAGCGCTGCCGCTGGCCAGGCCGACGGTCCGCGGCCGCCCCGCCGCTTGCCAGGGCCTGGCCTGCAGGGAAGAAAGGTATACCCCCCAAAAGGGGTTCGATCGAAGACGAAGAGGGCGGGTATCGAGGGTTTGGGAAATCGGCGTTATTGGACACTCGAGCAGATAAGGGCGAACAGTATTAAAATTATTGTTGTTGTTGTAGTTGTAGTCGTCGTTGTTGTTGAACATTTTTTCTTCTTAAGAATAATTATTGTTGGGACCCCTGGTGCACGACCCCCCCGCCGCGCCTAGGCCGCAGCCTGATTTTCATCATTTTCGTGAGGAAGTCTCAGGCAAAACGGGGGAGTCCGGATCCGGTTGTGTTGTTACGATCGGTTTTCCCTTGCAAAAAATAAGCTAAAGTGGACATTTCTTGTTCTAACATAACCAAACTTCAAGAATCCCTTGCAAAAAATAAGGTAAAGTGGACATTCGCGCGCGCAAAACGAAATCCTTCCAACACCTTAGTTTTCGTAGCGATTTTAACATAAAAACATCGAAAAAACAATGGTTTTTTGTTTAAAAATTGTCAAAATTTCATCCCGCGCGCTCTTGCGGATTCGTAGGAAACCCAACACTTTCTAATCATTTCTGTCAAACGGGCTTTTGCGAGCAACTTTTTCGAACTTCTGCAACAACGGTTGCGCACCTGCCAGGGCCATCATCCCTGTCAAATAATACCATGCGGGACACATTCGTTTTTTCTTCGCGCGCGCACGCCGTCGTCGTCGGCCGCGGGGCCCTGAATAGTAGCCACGGTCGTCCGCATGCCACGAAGTGAAGTGTCCGAACGTCATAGGGCGGGAAGCTGGGTGTGGGTGGTGGCGAAGAGTCGTTTGGAAATTTGGTAGAGCTTGAACCGGCCCCCCCACAAAGTGGGGGTATTGCCCGCCTCCTATGAAAACCCTGGCACTGGTGAGAACGGAGTGTCCCCACGTGCTAGTAATTGTTGATGTTGTTGTTGTTGTTGTTGGTGTTGGTGTTGGTGTTGTTGTTGTTGCTGCTGCTGCTGCTGTTGTTGTTGTTGTTGTTGTTATTGTTGTTATTATTATTGTTGTTGTTGTTGGTGTTGCTGTTGTTGTTGTTGTTGTTGATGTTGTTATTGTTGTTGTGGTTCGTGGTGGTGTTGTTGTTGACCTCTCACTACTGAATAATTATTGTTGATCCCGCCTCCGGTAACATATGTGTTTTTCAATTGAAGTGCCCCTCCTGGGGCTCGCATCCTGTTTCTTATCATGGAGTTTTCCTGCTCAAGCTGTGCCCCTGGCCCCAGGTTTGCAACAACAGCGGCTCCTGCCCGATATATCTTCGCAATTTAATGTGGAGTCGCTCTCTCGCTAAGGACTTCCTTGCACTTTATCCAAGCGTTGCGTTTTCGCATGTGATTTTCTCGCAATTTATTCAGGCGCCCCGCCCTCGCCATTCAGGAATCGAGCTCTCGCCTGGGACTTCCTTGTAATTTACTAAAGAATCGCGCTCTCGCCCGAGATTTCTGGGCTAATTCTGCAGGACTCACGCATTCACGTCACATACATGTTTTTCCATTTGAACTGCCCCTCCCGGGGCTCGCTGTGTTTTTACCGGGGGATCTTCCTGCTCAATTTGCGCCCCTGGCCCCTGGTTTCTAACAGCAACGGCTCCCGCCTGATATCTTCCCAGAATCTATTTCCAAATCGTTCGCTCGCGAGGGACTTCCTCATAACTTAGTGCAGGAATCACGCTTTCGCGTGGGACACCCGTACAGTTCATTCGGGCGCCACGCCCTTGGCACTCAGGAATTACGCTCTCGCTGTGGATTCCGTCAAGAGTTACTGGGGAATCGCGCTATCGCTCGAGACTCCTTCGCGATTCATGCAGGACGCACGTTTTAGTAACCCGCCTGCTCGACCTGGCCATCTAGGCCCGCCTTCCCGACCCGCCCGTTAGGGTCTACCCGCCCGATCTCCCGTCTGGTCCTGTTAGGATTGTTTTCTGTTCGTAGCTCCCCTCCTGCTATTTTCTCTCGTGCTCCATTTTCCTGCCTCCCCCTTGTCCCTTCCTATCCGTCTTCTCGTTCCCTGCCTTAGGGGCTGCACGAAATACACACGTTGCAGGTATGAAAGATACACCCCGAGGGGGGTACGATCGAAGACGAAGAAGGCGGGTATCGAGGGTTCGGGGTAGACGTAGGGAGTAGCCCGCGAGCAGGGAAGAGTGAACAGTCTTAAAGTGATGGTTGTTGTAGTTGTTGTTGTTGCTGTGTTGTTGTTGGTGGTGAATGTTAAGTACTAAACAGTTATTGTTGGACCCCTTACAGGCGCCCTGGCGCTCTCGCCTCGGCGCCTGCTGCATTTTCATTGAAAATGAGGCTCACTCTCAAGCGGTTTGGGGGACCGCCAAAACCGGCCGCCCAGCAACAACAACGCTCCCGTTCGAGACGTCCTCCTTTTTTACTCAGGGCCGGTGCTCTTGCTCGCCGCCGAAAGCAGCCGTCTCCACAAAACCAGCGCTCCCGCTCGAGACTTCCTCCCGTTTTACCTTGGACAGGCGCGCTACTCTGCCCCCCAGCAACAACAACGCTCCCGCTCGAGATTTACTTCCTTTTTTACTCAAGGCGGTGCTCTTCCTCACCGCCGGAAACCGCCGTCCCGACAAAACCAGCGCTCCCGCCCGAGACTTCCTCCCGTTTTACGCTGGACTGGCGCCCTACTCTCTTTTGAATTGGCGCCGCTCCCAGCAAGAACAACGCTCCCGCTCGAGGTTTCTATTTTTTTTTTTTTTTTCCTCCGGACGGTGCTCTTGATCGCCGCCGAAGGCTGCCGTCCGAACAAAACCAGCGCTACCGCTCGAGACTTTCTCCTTTTTTACCTTGGACTGGCGCGCTACTCTTTCTCTCAGCCGCCCCCAGCCACAACAACGCTCCCGCTCGAGATTTATTTCCTTTTTATTCAAGGCGGTGCTCCTCCTCACCGCCGAAAACCGCCGTCCCGACAAAACCAGCGCTCCCGCCCGAGACTTCCTCCCGTTTTACGCTGGACTGGCGCCGGGCGCCCTATTCTCTTTTGAATTGGCGCCGCTCCCAGCAAGAACAACGCTCCCGCTCGAGGCTTCCTCCCTTTTTCCTCAGGACGGTGCTCTTCCTCGCCGCCGACAGCCCCCGTCCCGACAAAACCACGGCTCCCGCTCGAGACTGTCTCCCTTCTTACTCAAGGCGGTGTTCCTCCTCGCCGCCGAAAGCCGCCGTCCTGACAAAACCAGCGCTCCCGCTCGAGACTTCCTCCCGTTGTACGCTGGACTGCTGCCCTACTCTCTTTTGAATTGGCGCCGCTCCCAGCAACAACAGCGGCCGTGCCTGAGACTTCCTCCCTTCCTATTCAGGGCCAGGTCCTTGCCTCGCCGCCGACAGCCCCCATCTCCACCAAGGCAATCCTGTCGCTCGATAAGTCCTTGTGCTTTACCCTTGTCTGGGGCTCCACTGGCGGTCGCGCATCGGCGCAGCAAGGAGCGGGCATGCGTTTTCGAGGCGGGATATGTTGAAATTCTTCGGAGGCGGTGTTTGCGAGACCTCACTGGGCGGGAGATCTGGGAATGGGAATAACGGACCCCGCTATAGAACAATAATCCCCCATGATGGGGGTGGTTATCATGATGGTCGCATGCTTCATGTGGAAACATCGCACATGAGGGTAAACTGTTTGTTATTGTTGGTGGTGTTGTTATTGTTGTCGGACATGAAATAGTCACCCGCTTCGTCGTTCCAGTTCGATTTCGCTGTGGACACAGGCCGGCACGCTTGTCCTAGAATCCGTAACGTCAGTCCGAGTTTTGGTTTCATTGGGGCGCTCGCTTTGTCAAAAGTTGGGCGGGCGATCGCCAGTGCCT